GCGTCCTTCCCTGGCGGGGCGCCCCAGGCGCGCCCACACCTCCCCGCCCCTGCATCCCGACCCTTCACCCCTCCCGCCGCAGCGCGCCAAGGGATCGATGGAACAACGGATGGATGCTTTTAACGTACCAGGGCTACACAGAAAGTCCCGCCACCGTTCCAAATTTTGTATCATGAAGATATTTAATCATGAGGCAATAAAATAAAAAACTGCAATAACAGATCTAGGATACCACTATACAGTGGGGACTGAAAACTATGTACCTAAGTTGTAAGACACTATAAGATATTTATGGCTAAATGGCAGCAAATATCAAACCTGTAGTTTGCAACTAAATGAGCATTTTGAAGAAAGTTCGCAGCACTAATAAGCATATTAAAAGATTGACAATTAATTGATGATATATTCAACCCAAGAGAACTTTAGAAAAAAAAGAAAGCAAGAGAACAAATCTAAATAAGGTAGGGGAAAGAGAATAAGCGTGAGAGTAAACATTCATACTTTAAGAAACAAATAGAGATGAACAACAAAAGCGAAATTTATTTCCTTAAAAAGATGAGTACTATTTATAAATCTGTAGCAAGACTGATCAAGAAAGATAGAGAAGTGCAAATTGCCAAAATTAGGAACAGAAAAGAAACATAATTATAGCTAAGTTATAACTTATACTTAAGAAATCATATGTTACAACTATGGATAACTATAGCCAGGTAATAAGTTAATGCATAAACGGTTTCTGTGCCAACCAACTAATTCTAGCGTTTATATCCAGAATAGCCAATGATATGGAAGGAGAACAAAGGTGAGGGGCTGATGTTACCCAACTTCAAGACTTACTGGAAAGCTACAGAGATCAAACCAGTGCGGTACCGGCAAACGAAGAGACAGAACAGAAGGGGGAGCAGAGAAATGGACCCACATAAACACAGGCGTTTCATCTTTGACAGAGGAGCACAAGCAATACAATGAAAAAAAGCGGGTCTTTTCATCCAACGGTGCTGGAACAACTGGACAATCACATGCTCCTCCTCCTCACCATCCCGACACAGACCCTACGCCCTCCACAAAAAATAACTCAAAATAGAGCACAGACCTCAATGGAGAACACAAACCACCACACTCAGAGAGGGCAGCGGAGGAGCAAACCGAGATGACCATGGGCGTGGCGATGGCCTTTTCGACACAGCCCCCCAGGCGCAACCCACTAAACAAAGTCGCCGGATTTCATTAAAATGAAAAACTTCCGCTCTGCGAGCGAGAGTGTCCAGCAGCCGGCAGAGCAGGATGTGGCTGGCAGGGCCAGCGTCAGCACCGCAGAGGCAAGGGCGTCGGCAGGTCGGTCCGTGGCACCGAACTCGGACAGAGTTTTCCTGTTTGGACACAGCTCGCTGTGTTAAGCCACCAAGGTGACCGCAGTGGGGACAACGGTCTCCAGGCCACGTAGCCCCTGGTCTTCATCGCGCTGGTCCTGACTTGCTCACGTGGCGCGACAAGGTTCCGAGAGAAGGAGCAGAAGCTCCCGCGGCCCCCGAGGCCTCACCTCGGAAACGGCGTGGCACTGCCACGGCGACCGCAACCGCAGGGCCAGCCCAGGGTCCAGGCGGGGACGCACACACCTCTTACTGCACAGGCACACGCACGGGGCATGGCTCACGGGGGGCGGTGATCAGGGTCGGGTCTGGCGGGCAATCAAGCTGTCATAAGAGAGCTGTCACTTAGCACGCTCCCCGCCCCCTTCGTCCCCAGCGGGCTCTGATGGAAGCCAGGGCAGGCAAAGGCTCTCCAGCCCAGGAGGTGCGTCTAGAGGAAGAATGAATGGTGTCACACGGACAACACGCAGTCCGAAAAGGCAGTTTTAGTTCCGGGAGCTTTCCCACTGCCTGTCCCTTAGCGTCAGAGAGCCGGTCACCTTGTCGGCACTGGGCTCAGGACTGCACGGTCCCCTCAGGAAATGCCCCCATGAGCACGGACGTCCCCCGCAGGGGTAGGAACCGGACGACACCACAAACAAAGCACCCCGAGTCCCCTCGGATGATCACTAGCCTTTAAAAAAAACCTTTTAAAAACGTGTCCAACATCCTTACGGACGATTGCAATGCAAACACAAGGTGCAGCCAATGCCGCAGAAACGACGCTGAGGCTTCGTCTTCTGCAAAGGCTGCGCCGGCCCGTGGCATGGCCACGCGGCAGGCCGGCTGCGCGCCCCTGTGCCGGGAGGGGCCAAAGTTTTGGCACCTGGGCCGGACATTCACATTCAGGCTTGAAGGCAACTGCCTCCCGCTTCCTGCCTTCTACTGACATACAGCAGCTCCGCGCCGCGGTGTGAGTTGCTGCCTATGGCGGCGGCATTTCACGATCATTCCGGGCGTGGGGGACCCAACGCCCACCGCTCTCTGCTGGTCCCGCTTCCGACCTGTTTCGCCCTGCCAGTGGGAGGTGACAGAAGGCACCAGCTCCCTTCACAGGTGTTTAAACCGCGAGCAGCCACCTATATGCACAGAGTGTGCCCACGAACTTTTGAGAACTTGGCTTATGCGGGGCCCAGAGCACAAATGCTGCCGAAGCAGATGCCGTGCCCCAAATATTTACCTGATGGACGCTTGGCAGCTTCTAAAAGAAACTCACAAGTGGCTTTTTAATTTATTTTTTAAAATCCTCACCTGATGACATATTTATTGATTTGCGAGAGAGAGAGAGAAAAAAAAATACTGATGTGAAAGAGAAACATTGATAGATTGCCTTTGTTACATGCCCCAACTGGGAATCGAACCCACAACCCAGGCATGCGCCCTGACTGGGGATCGAACCCACAACCTTTTGGTGTACAGGACATCGCTCCAAGCAACTGAGGCACCAGCCAGGGCTCATCGGTGGTTTTTTAGATGGAAGTTCCAGCAGCCGCTGGCCAAACACTGTGCAGCAGAAACACTGGTTGGCGGTTAGGAGCACAGCCCTTTAATCAGAAAACTGTGAGTTCCGATCTCAGCCCCACCTCTTACTGTCTGCGCAATTACGCTCAAGCTACTTAATCTTTCTTGCCCTCAGTTTCCTCACTGCGGAAAACTGAAAATACAAACTATCCCACAGAGTTCTTTGGAAAATAAAATGTAACGATATACACAATACACTTAGTCCAGAGCTTGCAACAGAGAAAGCACTCAATAAATGCTCAGTGTTACCACTTTTTATAACACTGATAACAATTTAACTTGCCGGCAGCTGCCAGGAGGAGGGGCAGGGCCCAGCAGCATGTGACTCACCCAGTGGCAGCAGCAGAGCTCAGGGGCGGTCACCTGGGGAGGTGGCTCAGAATCCAAAACCCATCCTTGGACTCTGTCAGCATCTCACCTTCTCGCTCCAGGGGAGTTGAAGCGCCAACAGCAGAATCCAAGGCCGATTTCCGTAGAAAGAACGGAAGGGCAGGGCAGGGCAAGGCTCCGACATACCCCCCCACCCTCCGCCGCTGCCGGGACTGCAGGAGGGGACGGGCAAGGACAAAATAGCTGGGAGGGCTGGGGTCCGCCAACAAACACGTACCGAGCGCTTACTGTATGCCCAACCCTGCGTGAGGTACCGAAGGGAACAACAATGATGAGAACAAGTTCTGTGTTTCAGATGGGGGCGGTGGACAACACGCAAGTACCTAAGGTCCGGATGCGCTACAAAGCAGAGGCTCAGTGAGCACCCCTTGGAGGCTACTCCAGATGAATAAAATGGCCAGAGGATAAGATGCAGGGCTGGATTTGTGGCCTTCTGTACTTCCTTTGAGAGGAGATAAGAAAACTTTGAACCTGTAAAGCCTTGTGACAGCTCCGCATTGATAGCCTAAACTCACGGAGACTAGAGCAACCTTCAGTTTGAGAGCCTTGAAAAGAAAAGAGAAAAAGCTACATCAGGCAAAATTTTAAATCTCCATACGAGATTCATCAGTTCGTCATCGCTCACAAACTCGGGCTTTTTGTAAGGGAGGAATTAAAAGGGTTAGAAGCGGAGGACCAGTTGGTGGATAAGTAATGGCAGATTAAACGAGAAAATGAAACCGAGAACGGGAAAGCAAGACGTGGGCGTGGGCAAGGCATCAAAACAACTGGCAACTTTTCTGGACGATGACACCTAAGTCGGGAAATCCTCCCGGGCGGGGCAGAAACTGGCGGGGCAGGTGCTGTTTGGAAACAACCTGATTCATCACATGACCTTATTTACAGCCAGAAGGACCCGTCCACGCGTTCCCACCCTGGGGAGGCTGTGGCCCAGCGGGAGAACCGCAGCCCGAGCTCCCACCTGAGGAAAGAGGGGCAGCTCTGAAACTCCGGAGAGGTGGGTCTCGGTCCCCGGAGGTGAGTACGCGCCACCTGGCCTATTAAAAGTTCCCAGGCACCTAGCCTCCAAGTCCCACAAGGAAACACTGCTGAGCTCCATTTCCCTGCACATCTATTTCCTTTTGAGCATTGCAGATGTAATGGTAAACACTGCCAGCTCAGCCACAACTTCTTGTTCTTGGACGAACCCAGTGACTCCGGCGAAGGATCCCCAGGCTGCCAAAAACCCCGCCCCCATTGGTAACCATAGCAACGGCAACGCGCCAGGCTGGGATTCCCGAAGAGGCTCCTTCCCAACTAAAGATTGTTTCCCACTATCTGTCCACATGGGCGCACCCCCTCACTATTGGCCAGTGGCCCGGGACTGTGCCTCGCCCCAGCCAATAAGCGGCCTGTACACGTGCACAGCTGCGTATCCCGATAGGTCACCAGTACCTGATCACGCACAGCCTACCTGCGACAGCCGCTGCTTGGGGCACCAATGAAGTGACTCAGTAGCGATTTACAACCAATCGGCACCAGCCGGGGCTCGCATCCGACCTATGGGCGCGCGCCGGGGGTGGGCCGTCCCGGCCCGGTTCCACCCCCCCCAGCGGGGTTCGTTAAAGCGACAGGGGACCCGGCGTGGTAAGGTTCCACGGGCCGCCGCACAGCTGCCGCTGCGGCCCTCCATGTGCGGCTGGCGCCTGTGACAGCGGCACCACTCTGCTTCCGAACCCCGATCCCGGCGCTGCCCACCTATTTGGCGCGGGCGCAGCCGCGTCGCCCGGCGGGATGGGCGGCGAGGCGAGGTCCGCAGAGGCCGTGGGCCCCGAGGGTCGCGTGAAGAGCCTGGGTCTGGTGTTCGAGGACGAGCGCAAGGGCTGCTATTCGAGCGGAGAGACGGTGGCGGGGCATGTGTTGCTGGAAGCGGCGGAGCCGCTGGCCCTGCGCGCGGTGCTCTTGGAGGCCCACGGTCGCGCCACTGCCTCCTGGGGCCCCGGCGCCGGCTCCGCGGCCCCGGCCTCCGCCTCGGAGGTGGAATACCTGAATGTGCGCCTGAACCTGCGCGAGGCCCCGGCCGGTGAGCGCGGCGACAGCCCCGGTGTCCCCTCTGGGCCGCGGGCGCCTCCAGGGGGGTTGGGAGGGGGCGCGCCGGGAGATGCCCACCTGCCAGATGTGCGGCGGATGGCTTCCGGGGGTGGGGTCCGCCCGCGGGTGGCCGGGGCCTCGGTTTCGTCGCTGGCCGCGCGCGGTAACAATGCCCGTGCCCCCACCTCACAGCACTGGGGGCGGGGGCGGGAGGAGGGGACAGCGTGTGCGTTGAATGCATACCTCTTACCTGGTGCCCCAGGACCTTCCAGGACCGCCGGTGTTTGGGGGGGGGGGCGTTGTCATGGAAACCTGTGATGAACAGTCAGGAATCCAGCTTCTGGGGATACGGGACTTGTCCTTTCTGGCCCGAGGCAGGGAGGGCGGAACCAGAGCCTCACGTTCCCTGCTCTGGCCCCCTGGGTTTCACGGGCCTCCCCTTCTTCCCATCTTGAGTCTAGATGCTCCTTGGTTCTTGATGAAAACTGGGTTCCTGATGAATTAGCAGAACCTGGGGAAGAGGGCAGTAGCCCCGGAGAGGTAGCAAGTCTAAGGACGTGCTCCCTGACCGTCGTCCGTAGTGTCCTCTCTGGGGAGCGCGGGTAACATGAGTTCTGCCTCTACCTCGCATTCTTTTCCTTTATTATTTTTGCTGCTTCTGTGTCCTTTTCACCCAATCCCTCTCCACCACTAGGCCTTTAAGAGACAACGGGGTCTGGAGGAAAGGTGACCCTTGCTCTCCCCCCTTGTGAGGTCCGGGGAACAGTGTAGGCCCGTCCAGAAGTCTCCATGTGGGAACCCGCTGCACGGGGGTACCAGTTAGTGCACACGCTGGTTTCCGTTCATCGTGAGAGTACTAGGGACACCGAGTCTTGAGTCCTGGTCTTCTGTACTTGGTGGAAGCTACCTTACCTTTGTGCCTCATCAGCCCAAGAGTCAAATGCACTGCATGTTTGTTTAACCCTTGCTGTGTCTTACACAAAATCAGTAGAAGGTGCAGTTTTGCCTTGTCCCGCTGTGGGAAAGGAGACTGCCCACCGTTCAAGGCTTCAGGTGTACGCGAGCGCGGAGCGACTCCCCAACCGCACCGAGGGCAGGCGTGCTTCCAACCGGAGCTCTCGGCTGGGTTACCAGGTGCGGGCGCCAGGGGACCGCTGCTCCCTGCCTTTGGGCGCTCCCACCAGCACAGGTGTGGCTCCCAGGCCCAGGGGCCCCCGCGCCGCCCCCCGCAGGCAGCGGACCTCGCAGACCTTGGGGGTGCCTGAGGGGCAGAAAGGGCCAGAGAGAGAGACGGAGGCTGATTTCTGTCCAGGACTTTGGACTCTGTCTCTGGGACCGTGACTACTGAGTAAACAAATGTATGATTAATAGCAGTTGGACCTGCTTAGCAAAAAATTAGCCAAAAAAATTGCTTTGGTAAAGTCTGGGCTAACAAATAGCATTTCAGTTCCCAAGTCGGATCTTGTGTTTTCATTCTGATGGAATAGAATGTCCAAACCTAAACCACTTGAATGGTCACACAGATTAGCCAAAAATAATGTTTCACATAAAAAGCATGGGGTTAGCTGATTTCATACCGAGAAAAAACGAGGTCACTCCTGTTATCTGTAGCTTGGGAGAAGTAAGCAAGTTTACACAGGTGTAGATACTCAGGGCCATTGAATTCCAAAACTTGACTTTTAATCCCCTGAAGAGATTTTTAGAATCTTGAGAGTTCGGGGGAAGCTCAGCGTTGCAGTCTGTTTCCAGAACACCTCCTCAGGTCAGTCCTCGGCCTGGTCAAGCGAATCCAACTGTTGGCTATCGTTCTGATTGAGCTTCTCCGTACTTTGGTTGAGAACCCGTGGTAGAGAGACCAGACAGACCAGAGCGCCGGCGTCAGGTCTCGGACACCCACCAGCAGCGTGAGGGTGCCCACGGCGCCCCGCCCCCCCCAGCCCGCCCCCCCCCACCCCCCGCCCCTGTGCGGTGGACTCCCAGCCCTTGCAGGGCAGGACCCTGAGCAGAGGCAGCGTCTCCCTGGGACAGGGCAGCTCTCCGTGCGGAACGAAAGTGACGCGGAACGAAAGTGACACCCAACTCAGCTGGGGAACCCTTCTAATTCTGAGTAAACAGACGAGAAAGTGAAAGAAGGGAAGAAAACAGAGCTTTGATGGAAAACACTGTTTTCCTGGGTTATGTTTTGAGGTGCCTGAACGTCTCGTGTGAAACGTGACGATCCCTAGGTTGGTCTGTTTTGTGTGGGAAGCAGGAACTTTGTCGCTCCTTTACCCTCTCGGTGCCCTGGGCCACTCTCTGCTCCCCACCCGTCCGTCCTGCCCGCCTGCGGCCGGCTGTTCCCCTCATCTCTGAGCCCGCCCTGATGCCCCCTGGTCTGCGGTCCTCAGGGGGCCTGACCCAGCCCCCACGGGCCCCACCTGCGCGCAAGTGTCTCGCCTGCTTTCCTCCCGCAGCTCTTTGAGGGTTGAAGTTACTCATCTTTCTCTCCAAAGTCCCTGCCACCGAGGCACTACACACTGGGACCTCAAGTGGAGCCCGCGATTCTAATGCACCTGAGCCCCAGAGACGCGCACTCTCGCTGCCATTTCCCACGGGCTCACGTCCGGTGACCTGTTCCCTTGGCCTCCAAGTCACCCACCTGTGGGTTGGTTCTATTTGAATGACCTTCAATGGCAAATATTTTGTTCATTTTCCCCCCCATATATCACGCGCTGGAAACTGGGGACAGACTCAGAAGAGAATGAGCCAGTCAAGTGTCCCGTTTTCTAAAAGCGCAAGGCTGACATGTTCACTGAGTTGTTAGAGGTCTTAGAACTCCAGTATTTAGGTGGAAAAAAAACAGCCCATCTCACTAGCGATTTCTGCCTTTTAATTTGGGTGCTGGATGGAGGCAGCAGGCGTCTTTGCTGGGTATCCAGAGACCGGGCCAGCGTCTGAGGGAGCTCAGTCTGCGCCGCGCTCCGTCTTGGCCCTCGTCCTGCCCCACAGGGAGTTTCCTTGCAAACCTGAGCCTGAGCAGGGGAAGGGGAGGTTTCCAAGTGCCTCTGGAGAGCTCCCCGGCCCACACTGCGGCGTGGAGCTGTCCCCGGGGGCGAGCAGCGTGCCAGCGGCACCCCCGGCCTCACCTGGTCCACCGGCACCTTGCCGCTCGGCCTCCTCGCCGCCACCGGGGATAAGCCGCCGCCGCAGGCACGGAGCTGGCTGGCCCCGGGCGGGAGGACGGGGGTGTGGCCAAGCCCCCCAGATCCCAAGTCAGCCACCAAGATACCCCACTGGTCAGCAGAGCCTGGGGTATGAGTGTGACTCTCGCTTACCATACGTTGCCCGGTCGGTTTGGCTGTTTGGTTTTACACTCAACATGCACGATACTCCAAGTCAGTTCACCTCCTTGTCCACCGCTGCCCGAGGAACGTGGGGTCTGACTTTTACAGTGTATTCAGAACAAACAGATGGGGTTTGTTTTGTTTGCTTCATTAATTTTCAGTCAAATTTAATGTCGGTATCTAATGTTAGTGTAATAGTATGCTCATGTCAGGATTCTCATGGCGGCGTGAGAGTGGGATAAGTAAACATTTATGTATATGCCTATGTGTATATATACGTTTATATACGTGTGTACATATATATCTGGGCTCTGACACTTTACAGTAGCTACTTGTGTACTTGTCTGTTTGAAGACAGAAGCCACACCCACACAGGTGTGTATATACTTGGTTAAACTTGGTACAAACAAATTCGAATGCTAATTCTCCAAACCTCAGCTCGCTAAACGTTTTGGAGGACACCGGATATTACAGCCAGGACACCTTCCTTTAAAAAACGTCTGATTTAGGTGGCGGAGCGTCTTGATCTAGTGCTGACCTTAGTTATAAAATGTCTTCTCTCTTTCAGGGGAAGGCGTCCTCTCGTTACCGCCCGGAAAGCACGAATTCCCGTTCAGCTTTCGACTTCCGTCCGAGTAAGTGAAGCCGTGATAACTGCCGCGATTTCCTCTCCCGCCGCACGTCCCCCCACGTGGACGGGTCCGGGTGTGTCTGACCCTCAGCTGTGCGTGTTTGTCCTGAGGATCCCCGAAGGGACCCCCCTTGCTCACACTCATTTCTCTGTTCACCGAACCGCCCTGTTCAGAGCCTCTCCCGGTTTCGTTCCGCGGAAGAATGAGCGCGCGCACTGACCTCTCCGGCTTTGCCCAGCCCCTTAGCCACCTCGTTCGCCGGGAAGCACGGGAGCATTCGCTACTGTGTGAGGGCCGTCGTGGAGCGGCCCGGGCGGCCCGAGCAGAGCGTCCAGCGGGAACTGCAGGTTGTCAGTCACATAGACGTCAACACGCCAGCACTGTTAGTAAGTGTTCCTCCTTCCTGCCCTTCCTCCGGCCCGGCTCTTCCTCCTCCCTTTCCGCGGCGGCGCGCCTTCCAGCCAGTTTGGTGCTCGTCTGTCCTGCCACCCTCTGATACAATCTTGTAACCCATAGGCATTCCCTCGAAAGACGTGATTCTGGGTTGAGCAAATTACAGATCGTGTGTGTGAATACTATTGATCGTGTCCCGGCTGTTCGGGGCTGCTTCTGCCAACAAGTTACACAGGCTCGCAACGCATTCATAAGGCTTAAGAATAACGATGCGCCCCCCCTGGGAAGGGCGGCTTCTCCCAGAGCGGCCACGCTGCCAGGGCTGTGGTATTCTCAACTCTTCCATAATAGCAGGCTGGGAAACAGCAATTAGGGGAGAGCATTAATCACGCCCCGCCTGCCATTGAGGCCCGGGCCATTATGCAACGTAGCCTTCCATTCTGCGTGTCATTTCATACCATGAAGTAAGTGCACGCAGCTGTCTCGGGGACCCTTTCACCGATCATTTCCTTATGACAGATTTGGCCACATGAAAGAATTGAACTTGTAATAATCACCAGAAATACTGTAGACCGATCAGAAAGATGAGGCTCCACGTAACAACAGAAGCGGCAAGATGGGCGCTAATGAGGGAGATTCTTTTCTCTAAGCCCATATTATCCAAATAATGTGAAATTATACCTTGTACTTTCATGAGCGCCACTGGGACCTAATGGTTCTTCATTTAAATATGAATGGTTTTTTTTTTCATCGAAAATACTGGGGTAATTTAAACTTTCCATCATGACACTGATGTTATTACAAAGATGGCTTTTCAGTGTTGAAGGTTCCTTTTCCTGGCCAGTGTTTTTAAAGATAAGGAAGGAACAAAGCCTGGAGTTAAAAGTTGTTTAACTCTGTTTTCGCATGAACGTGGGACGGAATCGGCCCTGACGTTCACCCTTAGATTATGAAACTAGAACAGACGTGTCCCGTTGGCCTCCCTGGGGCCCAGCTGATGACATAGCCAGCGCCCGGCTGCCCTGGCGCAGAGCTGCGGCTTGCCACCGGCTTCACACTTCTCCTGAAACTTGCCAGTGCGAAGCGTCTCGCATTTTTAAAAACTACTTAGAATTGGAAGGTTAACTATTTCTAAATTATTTATGAGAACATTGTGGCAAATGATTGATAGAGATTTTTTTTTTTTTTTTTGGCTGGAAAGAGATACTATTTATCCTTTACTCTTTCTTTAAATAAAAAGAAAAACATTGTAACTTCGGGACTTACAATGAGCTGTGGTTTGTGCATCTTGTAACCTGAGATTTTAAAAATCTGGTGTCATTTCACGTCACACCATCGAATAGAGCAGGGGGCAGTATCTTTTGTATCCATTACACTGTGTATGTTTGCCTCCCGTGACACACAACCCGAAAAGCATTCTAAGTTAAAGACACTTGAACTTCTGCCTAAGAGTGCATTTTAAAGTAAGGAAAAAGGGGGTGGGGGAAGCTATTTGCTTATTCTGTATTTTAAATACCAAAACAAACAGAATATTCCGATTATTGACTTTTATGTTATTTCTCCTTTGACCTGATCTAAAGTCTTAAAACGAAGCAGTGTTTCTGACACGTCACTAGGTACGACAGGAGCTCCTGATTGCTCTCTTTTAGGGAATGGTGTGTCATCTCCCAGAAACACGATGACTATAGGGCAAAACAGGATGGCGTCACCTAATTTGAATCTGAAAATTCACCTCTGTTTTCCTAATAAGGCAATGACCGAGCGCTTTGTGTTTGGATGTTTCACCTGGAATGTCACATGAGATAAGAAAAGTTGATTTGTTTTTTTGAAAGACATTTCTTAATGAAGAATAACAATTTTAAGTTTTACAGATTTTCTAGACTGGTCTCGTTAAAGTTGTCTTATTTGGCATTTTCAAGACCCCTGTATTGAAGACCCACGAGAAGATGGTTGGCTGTTGGTTCTTCACCTCCGGCCCAGTCTCGCTGAGTGCCAAAATTGAGAGAAAGGGCTATTGTAACGGTAAGCACGCTGTTTTGAAAGTCCAAATGGCGATCATTAATACTGGCAAATTTCACGTGATTTTCAATAGTGCGCTTTGTAAGTGTGGAGTCCGTTCTGTGTTAAAATGCAAACGATAAATGTTTCTGTTTCCAATATGCATAACTGATATTTAAATGCCCTGGAGTGGACCAGTCGCTTCCAGGGAAACGCTGGCGTTGCGACTCGCCTCCCGCTCCCTGGGTCACAAAGGTGGACAGCGGCCGAGTGGCCGAGTGAGGCCGCCCATCCCGCGGGCAGGCCGGGGGAGAGCGCCGCCCCGGAGCGCGCCTGTGAGCCGAGCACGCGGCGAGGCCCTCCTGCTCCACGCCGGGCACATGGGGTGGGGCCAGGGTGCAGAGCAGCAGCGAGCCCAATGGCCGCATGGGCGGCAGGGCTGCCGTGTGGGAAGGGCCCAGTCCGGTGCGTCCGGGCCACCCTGCGTCCAGGCCTATTGGGATGATCGGGAGCAGGAGGAGGTGGACATCAACCCTGCCTACCCCGTCCATGCATTCATTTGTGCCTTACCTTTTAGTCCGTAAAAGCAAAGGCCAGCTCTCCTGTTGGCCAGGTATTAATAGAGGGACCCTGATGAGTTGGTTAGTAGCCTTTGTACTTAGCACGTACTCGGTCATGTGCTTGTATGTCCTATCTTAACTTTTAAAGACACTGGTACCTTACGTAACTTTAGAATCGGTGACCTAAAATGGCCACATTAGAAAAGTGAGTAACACGATAATCAGAAAACGCCCGTGGCAACCTGCACTTCATTTCTCTGGCTCTAATTGACAATACAGGTTTTCTGTCAGAGCTTCTCGGTTTGTTACAATGGTGTTGCAAACCCTTCAGCTTTAGTTGGTAACAGCTCTATTCCACCATGGTGAGAACTTTCTGGGAAGTCTGAAGGTTTTCGTTTTCTTTTTAGGAGAAGCTATTCCAATTTACGCAGAAATAGAGAATTGTTCCTCCCGGCTGGTTGTCCCCAAAGCTGCTATTTTCCAAACCCAGACGTATTTGGCCAGTGGGAAGACGAAGACCGTCCGGCACGTGGTCGCCAACGTGCGAGGGAACCACATCGCGTCGGGGAGCACCGACACGTGGAACGGGAAGATGCTGAAGATCCCCCCCGTCCCTCCGTCCATCCTGGACTGCTGCATCATCCGAGTAGACTATTCCTTAGCTGTAAGCACGGCTCTTTTTACCACGACTAGTCGGGTGGACGGAGCGGGGACAGTGTCACGTTCCTGTGAATGTGTACGTTTGATGCCTGGGGAAACGTCAGCTCAACAGCATTACAATAAATTGTGGAATAGACGGCAATTGGCCTCCGTTTTTAATCAGAAACTAGCCCCCTTATGGGATGTAATTAAGTGACATAAAAGAATTAAGGCGCAGTGCGGGCGCTGGCTGTATGGAAGGTGTGCTCCACTTTCTGTGCTGACTACGTAAGCACGCGCACTAACTGCGAGGCGGCTACGGCCACAGTTCCCCACCACGACGTGCGCCCTGTGTTCTGTGAGCCCTTCACGTGGTGGGTTCCTCCTTTTATTAGGTCTGGACGATGTACAGTTGTAGCGGGCAGAGGGTATGGCAGGTAACAAAGGCACTTGTCTCTATTTTATGAAAAATAAATCAATCAGCTGTTCTTGCTATGGGGTGTAACTTTTTTGGTGCCTTTCTGTCTGTTTTATGTGTGTGTGTGTGTCTCTCTCTCTCTTTGGCGTATTAGGTGTATATTCATATTCCTGGTGCTAAGAAACTGATGCTGGAGCTGCCCTTGGTGATCGGCACAGTCCCGTACCACGGCTTCGCCAGCAGGAACTGCAGCGTGGCCAGCCAGTTCAGCGCGCACGGGAGCTGGTGGGCCCTGGCACTGCCCGAGCGGCCTGAAGGTAGGGGCTCGGGGTGCCTGCCGTGTGCACGTGACACACAAAGCACCGCAGAACAGGACGCAGGGCACACGAAGAGCTCAGGGGTCTGTTCCCGCTGCTCCTGGAACTGTCCTTATGCTGCTTCTTGCTAAACACCATCAAACGTTACTCCTGGAAGGGCCTCTGAGGGTCTAGCTTATCCAGACCGCAAGGCTGCGGGTGCCAGATCCAGGAGTGAAATCCACGGTTCCCGATTCCGACTTCCACCAGCAAAGCAACGAATGGTCCGCGTAAACGTGCAGAGCGTTATGTAGGTTCTGTAGCCACACTTTAGTGATTTTTTTTTTTTAACCTGGGCTATAACATATGTCTCAAAAGAGTACAATATAATCAATATTAGTAGTTTAATCAAAGCAGAATCTAATAAAGGGTTTTTGTCGTTAACGGGCATAAACACTTGCTGATTAGAGGGAATACGACCGTTGAGAGAAACACAAGGAGCGTTCGGAGGGCTCGGTGGGGTCCGGTCCTGCCTGGACGGCTCAGCCCCGCCTCCCCCCTTTTTGCAGCACCCCCGGACTACACGGACGTCGTGTCGGAGGAGGAGCTCTCCGGGCGCGGTGACCCTGGCGCCGCGCCGCCCAGATGGGGGGCAGAGGCGCTGTGCCCCCCGTTCGCCTGCATTCCGGACTTCCGCTTCCAGCCTCCGCCTCTTTACTCAGAGGTAAACAAGGCAAAGGAAAGTAAACCCCACTGGCGTTGCGCTGATTATAAATAATCCTCTGTACGTGTCTGTGGCTGATTCCTAATTAGTACGGGATACATACGGTGAAAGTTTTTTTACGGCAACGATAGATCATCACTGTGTCATTCCCCACTGTTTGCGTGCCTGCCGTGTGACCTGTGGCTGCGGCACGGACTGCTGCCAGGGTGTTTAACGTGGCCGTGTGGCACACGGAGACTTGGAGCGGCCTCCGGGGATTTAGGAATAACCCTGGGCGCTGAGCGTACACCCACCATATAATCTGACCAGGGCACTGGCGCAGTTTTACAGAACGCCACACCGCTAACCCCGTCTGCTCTCTCTCTCAGGTCGATCCGCATCCTAGTAACGCAGAGGAGGCCCAGCCCGTTTCCTTCATCCTGTGACCGTTCCCAGAAATCACTGTGATCGCCCCCAAGGGGGAACATCGGCCCTTTCCCCGCCTCTTGGGCTGGAGGGCGGGAAGATTCGCTTAAGAACGAAAATGAATGTCGGCACCAAGACATTAAAAGAGCATGTGAACCGTCCAGCAGGCCGACAGGATCATTGTCCGAGGTTATAGTGGGGCCATGTGTCCCCCGGAAGAACAGAAGCCCCTGGAAGCTGCAGAGAGCAGGGCAAGAACTCGGTGTGACCGGAAGAACCGCTGTCTGCGTGAGGGTTCCCGGAGTGGAGCGGAGGGATGGGGCCCTGGGGGGCCTGATGGTGAGGCCGGGACGTGGAGGGCAGGAAGTGGTTGCCCCCGAGGCCCCACCGAGGTCCCCCACCCGCAGCCTGCGGGGGGCCCGCTCCTGAGGCTGCGGTCGCCGGAGGTCCTAATGAAGTGGCTCAGCTTCCGCTTTTTCTGGGCCCATTGGAAACGTTCCTATAAATGGGCAGTAGAGTGTTACGAACCCAGGAAAGGGTCCCTTGAAAGGCTTGTAAGCGCCAAGGGGAAAGATGAACCACAGCGTGGGAACACTGTTCGTCCAAGGGTGTGATTTTTACCCCCTTTGAGTACTTGAACAGGATCCATGTCTGCGTTTCCTCACGCCTCCTTGACCTGAGATCATGCTGGACAGAGAAGCGGGGAAAGGCTGCGTCCTTAGGATGCCGTGGTAACCACGCGCGCGAGAGAGAGACAGAAAGGGCTTCTTCCTAACCTACCTCCAGCAGGCGATCAGATTGGCTTTAAAGCTCGGCCTGATGAGTACGTGGAGGGCCTGCCGCCTGGCGGTGCCCCCTGAGCTCACCGCTCACCGCGCGGGAGGCCGAGCCCAGGGCAGCCCCCGTGTGGCTGGCGCTGGATGGAAGTTCAGGTAGCTGTACCAAAGGGTATTTCACAATAAATGCAAGATCGAAAGAGGGTGGAAATGCCATTTTATAAAAAGGCACGAATTAGATTCCTGCCCGGGGACGGGCGTCTCCTGAGAGCAGTCACTGCCTGCTACCTTGTCAGCCCAATTCTTTACTAATTCTCTTGAAACTGTGATTTTGTTCATTGTTCCGGTGCAATATTTGATCAGCGCTTCACCTCAGGCTATGGAGACCCACAGGAGCACGTGGCCGCTGCAAATCTGAGGAGCGTTCTTCCTGTTGCCCTCCACCCTCTTGGCCACGGTCGCCTTGCCCTCTGCTCTGCTGGCTTGTGAGCTGGGGAGGCAGCGATCCCTGCATGGGGACCGGGGACCCAGGACCCGCTGAGGGCTCCCCGCTCCCAAGGGTTTGATGGGGGGCCCTGCTGCTTCCTGTGCAGAGCGCGCTGCTTCACTCACCAGAACGGTGAGTTCAGTGAGGAACAGGAGGGTTCTCTTGACGTTAAACGTTGCATTTAAAAGCTAGCTGGCCATTGGCAGGGATTTCTCTTCACGTGCGCGGTGAGTGGGTGCGTGTCAGCCCTCCACACGGACCTCCCTCTCCCCTCTGCAGTGTGGAAGCGTCACACGCGTCTGTTGGCGTGGCCCGCTGTCTAAAATCCTAGCGCCGTGCGGCCTCCGATGTGCGCGGTCATGAAATGGCCACCAGGCTCTTCCCTGCCTTGGTTTTTGGCTTTGCTTGTCTTGGTGTGTTTTAAAACAGGTACAGGTGTTGAAGTCCTGTCTAAACCGTTTTTACTTTTAAAAAGATCATCATCCACAATTGGCTGACTTCTAAATTCACTTACACGCCTCGTAAGATGCTATCCGTCCCCACAGCACAAGGACCAAGTGAGGAGGCACGGGGGAGAGAAAGTCTTAATTATTTAGCTCCCGGTAGAAAAGCAACCACTTCCTAGAGTCCTTCCCCAGGGGAGCTTCATCACCTTTACCTGTGAGGTCGTGAAGCGGGCAGGAGGTGGCAGCGAAGCTGGTGGTGTAGCCCGTAAGAGAACAGCGCAGAAGGTCGACTGGCCTTGCCGAGCCCTCTGGGTACGCCTCACCTGCAGCCGTGGGTCGGGCCTGCTTCCCTTTTCTCAGTCAAGAAACTGTCTTACGAATGCCCACAGCTCTGCGCTGGAACAGAGCATACTTAGAAATGAAGGTAAAAAATCTAGCTGCTCTTACTTGCTTGTATACTCTTTGTGTAGTTTTCAAAGAAACCGTGGCCTTAGAAATTTTTTTTCTTGATGCAAAAATTCTGAAACTGAAAATGTGAAAATGTGCGGCTCCCGGCACAAAATCCTTCTGCGGACAGAACCCCTCTTTTCGTTTTGTTTTGCACAAGAAGAAACTCAATAGGCAGGGGTGATGTTTTCTGTAAGTTGACCAGGAAAGCTTTTTTATTTTTATTATTGAGAACATAACAATTGAACCCACGGGGCGGGGCGGGGGGAAAGATTGTATTTTGTACTCTTGTTTGAACCCTATGGGTTCCTTTTGTTAATAAAGTGATTCCACTAAGGCGCCGAGTTGCGGCTTCTGTTGTGTTTCCGTGTGACTGCGACTCACGTTGTTACAGGCGGAAGGGAGATCAGCGCCACACGCCAAACTGCGGCTGTGGAGACGCGCTCGCACCCGGGGCTGGCCGCCCCAGGGCCAGGCGCGGCGGGGCCTCTGAGCCGGGTTTGACAGTGGGCTCAGCTTCCCAGCCTCGTCCGTGTCCGCAGTCCGTGAAGAAGGGGGGTCAGGATGAGTGAATAAGCTTCAGCTCTGTCAGTGGTGGCAGAGCATTATCGTCCTTTATTCCCTAATGACCGGCCACTTCGTGCTGTTGGACCAGACTCCCCCCCCGGGACTGACACAGTGCGGGGGCGGGGGGGGGGCGTAGCCTGTGGACCCTCACTGACCTAAATAACCCTCTCCCCTCTCTAACCACCCAGACCCTCTGTCCTGGAAAATTAACCATAGCTAACTGGTAAGAAAAAAAAAATTATTCATTCCCAATAGTTTATTCTTCAAGTGTTTATAATATATGAAATCATGTTAAATAATAAATAGGTGGCGTCTTAATCCTCTTTGCAGTGAACATAAGTTGAGATACTTGTGCAATAAATATGGAGGCGAAATTCAAGTTTCTGTAGCTTACACTGTAAAGCTGTGGACTACAGAACTTAGAACTAGGCAGGCCGTTACCAAGAATCGAGGACAGAGCCCTCACATTCCCAGGGAGGACGGATCCCCAAGCCCAGGGGTGTAACCTGGAAGTCTGACCTCCGTTCCCTGGAAGACCCTTGCTCTGATTCTGCAGCTCTAATAGAAGTCGCCGACAGTAATTGCTCTAATTACACAGTGGAAGCCTTGCAGACCTGGATACGAAGCCTCTGCGCTAAACGAAGTCTGTAGTGTTTACATATAAAAGCCTGTCTCCTGAAAGGACACCCGTTTTTGACTAAATTGCTTCCTAAGTGTGTTTAATTAGTAGCTGTACCCTTTCTTCAGCAGAGATATGTTTCTCACTTTACATTTTGAAATAATTATACACTCGTAAGCTGCAATTTTAGCAGAGCGATCCTGTGTATCCATCACCCAGTTTCCTCCAAAGGCAACATCTTACGTACTGTAATACCTTCTCAAAATCAGGAAACTGATGTTGACACTATGTACAATCAGCCCGCACTCAGGCCTCGCCTGGGTATCACTCGGTTTTGAGTGTACATATTGTTCTGGCGTGTGTGTGTGTATCTAGCTCTGCGACATGTTATCATGCGTCTGGGTTCTTATCGTGCCCACAATCAAGATACAGGGCTCCGTCACACCCGCTGCCCTGGCCCCCGACCATCTGTCCCCTCCCCCGCTCCACAATCTGTCATCTGGAGGACGCACGATAAGGAGTCCTTCAGCGGGTACCGCTCCGTGGGCTTTCTCACGCAGCTAACATCCTTCAGGTGCAGGCGCGGTACTTTATCAATAGCCTGTGCTTTTATGTTTCGGCTGAGACATTTTATAAGAAACAAATTGACGTTTAAAATTTCATTCTGCAGCTGGCAAAGAAAATGTGTTAACAGCTATGTGCGCATGACACCTTTGTAAATATTTTGCTTTTGAATTTGGGAACTACTTTTTATGTTGAATATATATAAAGGCACATCTCACAAAGTTTTAGGGGCTCATTTTTGGCTTGTCTAAGCACGTGAAGGAGTCTTCCTTTAAATAGCAAGCTATTATATTATAAATGAGCAAAATACATCTGTATTTTTATGAAAGTGTAAACCAAGGAGAAACTGTCTTGGACTGTTTATCCTATCAGCTCCTGAATATGGGAGGTTTAATGCAAGTTACACAGAAAAGAAACTATATTTGCCTCCGTGTTTTTGCACTAAATTCTGTTATTTTTCCTCTTTCCTGTCTGTTCCCTTCTTCCCAGTACCACCGCCTAATATCTGAGATGAAACGCCCACTTGTACGCTGAAATTAACTATAAAATACTGATTCTTAATGAAACAATACTGAAAAAAATATGGACTTACTCATTAAGACTATTAAATTCCTCTAGATAGGAGAACTCACTTTATGGAAGCCATTACTCTACAGACCTAAGGAGTGTTCCTCTCACACGAGACGTGAATCTCAGCAATGAAACGCAGCCGGGAAACGCGCACGCTGAGTGGGGGCAGGGCAGACAGAAAATGGTGGCAGGAGCCTGTTCCCAGAGTGTCACTTAGCTGAATCCGCGGGGAAATGTCTCTCAGGCCGAGCGGCCTCTGTGTCACCGACGGGAGGTCCGTCCCCGCTCCCATCGTCACAGAACCGACAAGCCCTGCCCGGGCAGGAAGGGACGCATGAGGCCGGCGCCCCCCACTCCGGGTGAAAACAAGCAGAGATGGGGAGTGTCTTCTTCCCCTTGCCAGCGCCCCCGCCCGCCACGCGCGTCCACGCGCACGCGCGCGCGCACACCCAGACACCCTTCTGCGTCGCCCGTTCATCGCGCACCTTGGCCTTCACACCTGGGTCTAGTGACGCGCATGAAGAAGAAGGCGAGTTCCCGAACAAGAGGCAGAAGCAGACGGGGGCCCCCTCCTCCGCAGGGATCAGCTGCCGGCCTTGGCGCACCCCCCCCCACACCCCGCCCCCCGCTGGCAGCACAAGCCGAGCGGAGGTCTGAGGGAATGTTACTGAATGAGCAACTGAGGGCCCCCCTCGATGCCAGGAATCTTTTTCTTTAAAAAAATAAAAAGGTACCGCATGGCACAGTAGTCAGTCACCCCTCTGCCCACAGCCCCGTGTCTATTTAGTAACTAAAGGACGCGAACGTCCCAAAACAAAGTGACCCCGCTCACGCACACGGCGTCCGCTGCGCTCTTGACACGCACAGGCTCACTGCACTGTGCCGTGCGGGTGCCGCCTCGGAGCCCACGTGGTAAGCAAGCATTCAAGGTTCGACAGCTTATTTGCATGTGCTTCCCTGCACATGTTAACGCTGGCCCGGCCCGGTCTGCTGACTTGATTCGAGCACAGTACAAAGGTTTATGGCCTCTGGTTAGTCAGCTCCCTGCACAACACGGCACAACGACAGGACTGCTGTGTTTCTCAAGTGGACACTTCGCCCCACAGGCAACACGGCTCATTAGATACGGCTTTGCTCATACGCCTGGGGCCTCCGGGCATGTGATCGCCACCAGTTCACCCCACGACTAGGGGGAAAACCCACTAAGGATGGGCCTGATTTGGGGGTCCCGGCTGGCAGCGGACAGATAAAGGACAAGGAGACTTGTGAGAAAGCGATCCTGTTTTTCACACACCCCCACCCCGGGTCAAGGTACTACAGGGCTTCAAAAGCGAGACCCTAAGGCTGAAGCACAGCGGTCAGCGGCACAACCAGGGAGGGCCAGGAGCCCACAGGGGTACGTGAGGGGACTGCACCGCGTACTCGCCCTTGGAGAGCGTTGGACGGATGCGCGCCCCTAGTTCCGAGAAAGCTGAGGTTAGGGAACAGCGGTCCAGGAGCCTACCACTTCTAACGTTGTCTTCTCCTGCCTCAACGAAAACAAGCTGAAGAAGTGTGTGTATGCCAACGTGCAGCGAGACCATAGTACTGAGAAAAAGTCTCCAGCCTCCTCTGTCTTCCTTAAGAGAGGATGAAGTCAAAGCTTCCTGGTAAACCTCTTAAGAGAACCAGCTTCTGCAGAGGTGGATTTAGGAGCAAATCTCAACAGTTGCTATTCAACAGCTGAGCCTTTCAGATAAATGCAGAAAGCTGGCACCAGAGGAGACTGCAGCAACAAATACCTGGTTTCGTCTTACCCACCATGACAAGAAACCTCGGCGCAGGCGTCGAAAGACAACTTATCTCCATCGGCCACGGCTGCAAACCCCAGAGAACGGCAGGGTCTCCTCAGATGAACAGGGTGCTTGTAAGAAAACCAGCCGCACTGCACGCCAAGCCGCTTCACAACAACCGGCTCCAGCACCGTCCTCCCCCGAAAAAAACACCATGACGCCCCCCTGCCAGGGGGAAGATGCTCGGGACGGAAGATGCAC